GTCGGCCTTGATCCTCTTGGGAATGAGAGAGCTTTACTCCCTGCAATGAGAAGTGCGACCGCGCTTCTGAGTAATCGCAGGTTATGGCCTTTCTAGCTGCGGACAATGTCCAAGCTATCGCAAAGATAGGCTTTGAGACTCATTCCATTGGTGTCTCTACGGGGGAGAGCATGGACAGGTGTCTTATCGTCGCAGGGACGGGCTACGAGATTCAGACCGTCAGTGACTCCGCGGGAGAAAGCGTGGTCGACGGTCTTTCTCCAGCATTCCAATTCGTTCATTTTGCTGGAAAATCATGAAGTTGATCTGGTTGATCGCTGGGAATAGGGCCACTGTGGTAGGATCGACATTGGTTGAAAAACCCCCGGATTCTCGAAATGCTGAACAACGTTGTATGTCGCATTGTCGGAGGAGGGGGAGGTGATGAGTCCATCCCTAGGGTCATTCTTTTCACCAACGACCGTCACATTGTTGTTGTGGTCATCGCTGACAGTAAAGGTTGTGAAAACAGCTTCGTGAATGTTATTGTTGGTGTGTTGATTAGCCATGACGATTTATAGGTTTTGAATGTTTGCTTTGGTCTTTAGGTTTCAAAGAAAGAAAAGACGGGGGAGCAATGGGTTCGCACAAACGGCACCACGGATCTTACCGGGATCAAAGATTAATCAGCAACCAACAAAACATCGTGAGCTCCAAATTCTCTGGAGACGGAGAAGAGGAGGGGGTGTACCTGTGAGGCACTCTGGTGCCAAAGTAAGGTTTAGAGTGAAGAGAGAAAGCAAATATAGAACAGTGAGTGAATTTAGAATATCTGACCCTCCTGTGCAGGAGGGTATTTATAATGTGCCCCTAGCGCTGGGCGAACGGTCATCTGTTGTGGTCTAGATCATTAGGCCCATAGCAGATGAGTGTCAGGATACTACGTGAGAGTAGGGAAGACCAGCATGTGGTCTTCGTCCTGGGTCAACTGCCCCATGAACTTCGCAATGGATGACTTGTTCTCGAGGGCAAAAGCACTCCGCAAAAGGCTTGAGTTCAGTTGGTGACGTGTTTCCGTGTGAGGAGCATGTGGAGAATGTGACCTCCAATAACTATGGAGGACTGGGCATTGTGTTGGACCTTCCTCGACGCGGAGCTGGACTGAGTTGTGTCCGACGGCGGGCTAGCCCAAGGCCCAATCCAAAACAAATTTATATTTGAAATTATAATTTATCCTAAAGTTTATTATAAAATAATTATTAAGTTTAATATAACTTAAGAAATAATTTTATCAAACTCTAAAAAAAAAGGGGGAGTTTAATCAAATTATTGTGACCTTTATTTTAGTTTTTTCCTTTTTATTATTTCATGAACCAAAAAATTATTGTGATTTTGATTTTTTTTTATATTTAAATTTGTATTATAAATATTATAACTCATGTCAAAGTTCATATCTTTATTTAAATAATACATTTGTTTGCATTATATTTTAAATGAATTTTTTTATTAAAATATATACTATTTTAATAATGATGCATCTTTTTAAATTAATATGGTTATACTTAAAAATTCACGTTCATATTCATTTATTTCCTAATTATCCGCCATTTCTAATGGTATATGTTACAGGTATTTTTTTATAGATATTAGATGAAATATCATAACATTATATATTTTACACTATTTATATAGATAAATGACTCAGAGGAAAATGGAAGCTTGACGGAGGAGAGCGTAGAAAATGTTCCTGATACAGAAAATCTAGGTCATTAAAGCACTGAAGTAAGAATGGAGGGGGAAACTAGCCAGACGAAGAAGTTATGGGTTGACATCATCAATGAGAATCGTAATTCGGCGAAGGGTCTCACCATGAAATTCGTTGAACCAAAGATTATTGATGGAGAAATGGAAATCCAAATTGAAGAGGAAGATGTTGAAAAGGAAGTGAAATTTTGGGAGTCTGCCCTCATCATGTATGCCTTGGGGGTGGACCTCATCATGAATGCGGTGAAACAGTTCATGAGCAAGAGTTGGAATTTTGTGAAGCTACCTGATATGTTCTATAATGAGGAAGGATTCTTCATCCTTAGATTCCACTCATTCCAAGACAAAGACCTAGTTTTGATGAAGGGGTCGTACTCAATCCGCAATAGACCAATGATGTTGCGTGAGTGGAAACCTGATTTCAGTATGAACAAGGATATGCTTAGAACAGTTCTGTTGTGGGTGAAATTACCTCAGCTACCTCTACATTTGTGGGGCGCGCGAAGCCTGAGTAAAATAGGCAGTGCACTAGGAACACCGCTGGTAACAGATGAATGCACGACAAACAAGCTCAGGGTTTCATATGCTCGTATCCTGGTGGAAATTGACATTACACAAGAGCTAAAGACACACATTCTAATAAGAGACGAAAAAGGTGCACGACTGCAACAGCCGATTGAATATGAGTGGAAACCTCTTTACTGCCAACGTTGCCATAAGGTTGGTCATAACTGTGATAAGCCTTCTAAGCCTGCTAAAGAATGGAAGGAGAAGGTGAAAAAGCAGACACAAAAGGAAAGGGTGCAAGCCAAGGCCAGTTCAAGTGGAACAACAGCAGCAGGGGATACTAGTAATGATATCCAACAGAATGATGAGGGTTGGACGCCGATCACTAGCAACAGCAAAAGGAAAATCACAGGTAGTACAAATGAGGATGATACTATCCAATGCCAAAACGGGTTTGGGCTGCTGGGGATTGTGAATGACCCTGGAAGCAGCCAAAACACTAATCCATGTTAGTGTCCTGGAATGTGAGGGGTCTAAATAAAATGGTTAAGACTAAATAGGTTAGCTCCCGCCTCCGTTCTCTTAACCCAATGATTTGTATTTTGCTTGAGACTCGAGTGAAGCAAGATAAGGCTGATACTATTAGGTGCAAGATGAAGCTTAAAGGCTCGTTTTTGGATAACTATGTTGATCATGCTAATGGCAGAATTTGGATCTGGTGGAACAATGCTAAGATTGAAATTAGGAAAGTCACTAGCACTGGGCAACTACTTCATTGTGGTGTCTATGATATACAGGGTATGTTTCAATTCTGGCTTACAGCAGTGTATGACGCAAATAGAATGGACTATCGTAAGAATCTGTGGAGAGATATTGAACACATTAACCAAAACCAACAGGGGCCATGGTTTCTTATAGGCGATTTTAACAATGTTGTTCAAACTATTGACAAAAGAGAAGGATCCATGGTGCAGATGAAAAAGTTTAAAGATTTAACTGACATGATGAATCACTGTAACCTTAGTGAAATGGATACGGTTGGAGATTATTACACATGGTCCAATCGGCAAGGTGACAACATCATTCACTCTAGGATTGACCACGGACTGGCTAACACTGAGTGGTTTCAAAAGTACATCAGCATGTGCCTAAAAATCCTTACTCCTGGCATCTCTGATCATGCGCTTTTGCTGCTGTCTGGCCCTGAAAATACTGTGAATAGAACCCCTCAGTTCAAGTTCCTTAACTGTTCTACTGAGGTTGAGGGATTTCAAGAACACATTGCTAATAGCTGGAATGGCCCTATCCAGGGTAATCCCATGTATGTAATATGGAGGAAATTGCTTAGATGCCAAAATGTTGTGCAGAAGATTAGTAAACCTTTGTTGGGTGCCACTGCTGTCCTCAAGAATGCAAGACAGAAGTTACAGGAGGCCCAACTGAAGCTCAGGGAGGACCTTGATAATCCTGAAATCATCCACCTTGTTAAAACCAGATCAACTGAGGTTTGTTACTGGAGTGAAATTGAGGAACAAGTTCTTAGGCAGAGAGCTAAAATCAGCTGGCTCAGATTAGGAGATGGCAACAACAGGTTTTTCCATGCCCAGGTAAAAGCTAGACAAAACAGCAGTGTTATTACTGAGATGTGTTCTGTGACAGGTGAAATCCTTAGAGAGGCTGAGGACATTGAGAATGAGGTGTTGTCGTTCTATGGCAGCCTCATGGGTAGTCCTAATAATAACATGGAAGGTATAAACTTGACTGCTATGAGAGTTAGTCCTCACATTACTAGTGTTCAGAAAGATGTGTTGGTATGTCCCCCCACTGAAGCAGAAATTTATAGTGCCCTACATGACATTGGTAATTTGAAATCCCCTGGTGTGGATGGTTTTGGGGCAAAATTTTTCAAAGCTTCATGGAGCATCATTAAAAAAGATACCACTGCTGCAGTTATGGATTTTTTCGACAACTTCAACATGTACCCTGCTGTTAATTGTACTCTTGTATCCTTGATTCCTAAAGGTAATGGTGGTAATTGTGTGAAGGACCTTAGACCTATATCCTGCTGCACTACGCTCTACAAAATCATATTAAAAATCTTGACCAGTAGATTGAGCAAGGTTCTTACCAGTATTATCAGCCAGAGCCAGGCTGCCTTCATCCCTGGACAGAACATCCATGATCATATTTTATTAGCGTACGAGCTAATCCAAGGCTACAGCAGAAAAGGCAGTACTCCGAGATGTATGTTGCAGCTGGACATCCAAAAAGCCTATGATACCCTGGACTGGTATGCTATAGAGTGTATTCTCAAAGAATTTGGCCTCCCTCACAAATTTACCAAATGGATTATGCTAGCGGTTACTACAGTATCTTACAAGTTCAATGTTGCTGGCAGAATAACTAGAAGCATGAAGGCTAAAAGGGGTCTTAGACAAGGTGACCCTATTTCTCCTCTTATTTTTGTTCTAACTATGGAATACTTTCACAGGCTCCTACACCAGTTAAGCAAAGTGCCTGACTACAACTTCCATGCGAAATGCGAAAAGTTGCAAATCATTGATATTAGTTTTGCGGATGATGTTCTCCTCTTTACCCGTGGGGATAGCAAGTCTGTACAGTTACTTATGAATCACCTGCAAACGTTCTCCCAGTCCACTGGCTTAGTAGTTAACCCTGTGAAGTGTAGGGTGTACTTCGGGGGTGTGTAAAATGAGACCAAAAACGACATCTTGGCTTCTACCTCATTTATGGAAGGGGATTTACCTTTTCGTTACTTGGGAGTTCCTCTCACGTGTAAAAGGCTTTCAACGCATCATTATATGAGTTTGGTGGACAAAATTGTAAGCCGGATTCGTCATTGGAGCTCTAAATTACTGAGTTATGCAGGAAGACTTCAACTGATTAATAGTACCATTGCTGCAATTGCAACATGCTGGATGAGCTACCTCCCTTTCCCCAAGCATGTGATCAAAACCATTAAGTCTATTTGCATGACTTTCCTGTGGACAGGTAGCGATGTGAAATCGAGAAAATCCCCAATTGCGTGGAAGAATGTCTGTAAACCTCGGCGGAAGGGCGGTCTGGATGTGTTGGACTTATCAGATTGGAACTCGGTTTGTTTAACAAAATTGCTGTGGAACCTTTGCAACAAGAAGGATACTCTTTGGGTGAAATGGATCCATGCGTTTTATTTCAAAACTACAGATATTATGCAGGTCCAGGAAAAACAGGGTATGTCGTGGATTCTAAAAGTTGTTCTTAGACACAGAGTCATCATTATTGACATGGAAGATTGGTATGAAATGAAGGAGAAATACTATGTGGGAAGAGTGTACCAGTTCCTAAAGAAGGATGATCCTGATGTTGGATGGAAACACATGTTATCCAACACTATTTCTAGAACGAGAGCCCTTTTTACTATGTGGATGGCTTGCCATCGTAGACTTGCGACAAGGGGACGGCTCAAAAGACTTGGACTTACGACCGACGACAGGTGTAATTTCTGCGATAAGGAGGAAACAATTGACCACCTTTTATTTGATTGTCCACCATTTAAAACCTGTTGGCAACAAATCTTGGTGTGGTTGGGGTTTCAACATTTACCGTGTGAATGAAGTGAGGAACTTGAGTGGTTAATCACGCATTGCAAAGGTAAAGATTGGAGGAAGTGCATTCTGCGTAGTGCTGTAGCGGAAACCATCCATGAAGTTTGGAGGTATCGTAACAATGTTATCTTTGGAAATACGGTGAATGTTTTGGATATTAGAGATTTAGTCATTTCTATCCTTACGAATATAGGGTGGGTGAATACTAAAATGAGGTATCATATAGCTCAATTACTTATAGAGTAGTTGTGGTTTTTGGTTGTTTTGTGATTGGGGTCCTCTATACCCTTGTATATACTCTTTTTGGTTTATATAAAGCATTATAGCATTATTCAAAAAAACGTGTTCATCGTTGATCTTTTTTACAAACTCCGTTTTAAAAACGCTTATGTGAGTGACACAAACGACCAATGACAAATCCATAAATTATAATTTGTGGAGGCAGTTTTTATATACTATAGTTTTATATTAAAATAATTTTATTATCTTTTTTATATCTATAAAAATGATAGAAGTTGCAAAAATTTTAAAATTATTTAAATTTTTTTAATTGTTTGAATAAATAAATAAGAATGGCAAATAAAATAACTTAAATATTTTTTTAAAATAAAAATCACTTTAAAAATATAATTTAATATTTTGTTGAACAAAAGAATTAAAAAAAATTACTATATACTTTTAATATTTTGTTCAACAAAAGAATTAATAATTGCAATACATCAAATTTAATGGGGGCAATAATTAATATTTAATGGTATCAAAATATAATTATTGAATATTTATTAAACAAAATATTAAACAAGTGGGGGCAGCTGTCCCCAATTTAATATATGTAAATTCGTCCCTGCAAACGACACTGATGTTTCATTTAAGAAGATGATAAAGAACATGTTAAAGATGTTAGTCTATATCATAATATTGTTAGTTTTGATTTTTGTAGTGTTGATGTATATTTTAGTTCAAAAGTGATGATCATTGTTAAGTTTGATAGTAGTGTCGTAAGACATAATTTTTGGTACCTTCAAGTAATATTTGTTGCAATTCCATATCAGTTTTGTTACAGTAAGATAATTTGTACAACATACAAAATTTGAAGGACGTAGTTATTACAATTTAAAAACAAATGAGACCTATTTATAAAAAAAAATATATAAAGGAATGACTTATTAAAAAAAATAACTTAGGAGAAGGCAGTATTTTTGCCTAATTTTAATTATAAATTTAGTTAATATTAATAAAGAGAACTTCAAAGATTAATATTCATAATCATCTTTTGATCCAGCACGTTGTATTATTTTTTATTTATTAAATCAATTCTTGCATTATTTATTTATTTTTAAATGTACAACTTAGTTTGAGGGATTGAAGTCAAGGATGTACAATAATGTTATTCTTAGATTATTGTAACTACGACGTTGGATCAAAGGATGATTATGAATATTAATCGTTGAGTTTCTCTTTATTATCATTAACTAAATTTATAAATATTATATTTTTATTTATGAAAAAAATAAAAATGTTTTTCATCGTACAAATACAATGAAAATTGTTGGTGTAAGTATTTGATGTACATTATGAGTGTAAGAATAATATTGCTCAAAGTAGAGTTATCAAAATAGGCTATTTGGACCTAAACGGCTAGCCCTGGTGGACTTCGGGCTTTTTAGAGCCGGGTCCAAAAAGCCCATTTTGAATATGAGTTTCCTTTTTACTACCCAGGTCAAGCCCTATATGGGTTACGGGCTACCCGGTCCTAAACGAGCCCATTTTTATTTGTTTTTTTTTAATTCTCCCTATTCTTTAAGTAATAACCTGTAGAATATTATCATTATTTAAGTAATTCTCCCTAACACAAAATTATCCACAATGAAACTTCCAACAAATTACACACAAAGTTATCCAACATGTAACATGTAACTTCCAACAAGTTACACACAAAATTATCCACCATGTAACTTCCAACAAGTTAGACACAAAATTATCCAACATGTAATTTCCAACAAAATACATAGTTTTAAGTGTTGGAAATTCAACCACAACCTATGGAGAATTTCACTCAAGACTGTTTCAACTCACGTAATGACAATGAAATAAAAGTTTAGAAAGAAAGAAAGAAAGTAAACGTTGAAGAAGAAGAAGATGAACAATTTTCTACAGAGAACTCTTTGCCCACAAACTATGGAAATTCTATTATTTCACTTGCAACTGCCAACTGTGAATTATAAAATATGATGAGATGTTTACAAAATAAGGGTTTCTCCCTATTTATAGATTTAGGTTAGCTTGCACCCCAAGGAAAATGTCAAAATATAAAAGCCTAAAAACATATAATCTAATCTTTCTAAATCAAATATGATCTTTTTAAATCAAATAAAATCTTTATAAAATAATAAATTATATATTTAACACACCACCTAATTCATTGTGTCTAAACTATCTACATTCATCATAGACCTTACCATCTTGAACACTTCGACTGACACTTCCTTTGTCAAGATGTCTGCAATCTGATTCTTAGTTCTGCAGTGTTCCAAGTTCATCTTCCCTTCTACTACTTGCTCTAAAAGATAATGGAATCTTATTTCTATGTGCTTGCTTCGACCGTGTGCTATTGGATTCTTCTCCAAGTTGATAGCTGACATGTTGTCGATCTTCATGGTAATTGCTCCATGACTCTTCGTTGTGATCTCTTCGACCAAGTTCGCCATCCAGGTTGCTTGACATGCACAAAGAGAAGCAACTATATATTCTGCTTCGCATGATGACAATGCCACTACTGGCTCCTTTCTCGAACTCCAAGGAACTGGTGCACCACCCAACATAAACACATAGCCAACTGTGAATTTTCTATCCTCAGAATCAGTACACCAACTAGAGTCGGTGTATCCCACTAACTTGCATTCTTTTCCTTCATCAACCGCCGGAAACAAAATGTCATAGTCGAGAGTCCCTTTCAGATACCTCAGTATCCTCTTTGCCATTGCTAGTTGTGATACCTTTGACTTCTGCATGAGTTTACTTACCATACCCATATTGTATGTTAAGCCAGGCCTTATGTGACAAATGTATCGAAGTGACCCAATAAGTCTTCTATATTGGGTTGGGTCGACATCATCTTCATCTAAATCCTTCAATAATTGCAATTTGGTCTCAGCTGAAGTTGAAGTTGGGTTGCAATCTTACATCTCAAATATCTTGAGTAGTTCACATGTATATCTTCTTTGGTGCATCATCAAATCTCTACTACTCTTGTAGAATTCGATGACAAGGAAATATGAGAGATTTCCCAAGTCTGACATTTCAAACTCCTCACTCAAGTTATACTTGAAGTCTTCGATCTCCTTCTTACAACTTCCTGTTATCAACATGACATTGACATAGAGGTATAATATAAGCAATTCACTACTGTTTCTTCTTATGTATACTCCATGCTCAGTCGTACACTTCACAAATTCCTTCTCCCTTATAAAGCTGTCAATTTTTTTATCCCAAGCTCTTAGAACTTGCTTAAGTCCATACGTGGCTTTATGCATCCTGTACACCTTTCTTTCTTCGCCTCGTTTCACAAACCCAACTGGTTGTGCAACATAAACTTCTTCGTCTAAGGGGACATTAAGAAATGCATATTTCACGTTCATCTGACATGTGTGTCAATTGTTCATATTTGCTAGACCAACAACCAATATGATTGTTTCGATCATAGCAACAGGTGCAAAAACTTCGTCGAAGTCGATTCCTTCCTTCTGAATAAATCCTTTCGCCACAATTCTCGCTTTGTGTCGAGTTACTTCTCCTTTATGATTTACATTCACCTTGTAAATCCACTTCACATCAATTGCTTTATTGTCTTGAGACAAATCGACAAGTGACTAGGTGTTGTTGACTTCGATGGAGTCTAACTCCTCACTCATTGCTTTCACCCACTTTGAATCTTTCAATGCCTCACCTGCATTGACTGGTTCGACATTTGCATAGAAAATATAGTGTACCTCCTCAACTTCTTCATCGACCATATCATCTAATGTAATCACACATTCTTGCAACCTTGCAAGCATGTGTCTTGTTCGTCGAGGTCTGCTTGGGCCAGCTTCATCTCTGACTTGTTCCTGTCGAACTTCACTTTCAACTTCAGTGGCTTGTTCTTCACAAGAGATTCTCACTGAATCCTTCCTGACATTCTTACTCCAATCCCATTCTTTAAGCTCATCTATCATCACATCCCTGCTGATCGCTACCTGCTTATTCACTTGGTCGAACAACTTGTAACCTCCATTCAAATGATATCCTATCAAGATCATCTTATTCGACTTATCATCAAGCTTCCTTCTCAACTGATCTAGCACATGTTTATGTGCTATAGATCCAAACACCTTAGAGTGACTGAGGCTAGGCTTGACACCAGACCAACATTCTTCTGGTGTGATTCCTTCAAGCTTCTTTGTCGGAAATCTGTTTAATATGTATGTTGCTGTCGAAACCTCTTCTCCCCATGATTCTTTGGGTAGATGCTTTCCATTCAACATACTTCTCACCATGTTCATGATGGTTCTGTTCTTTCTTTCTTTAATTCCATTTTTCTATGGAGTGTAGGGTGACACCACCTTATGCACAATCCCTTCTTTTTCACATAATGCCTCGAACTCTTTCGACACATACTCTCTACCACCATCAGTCCTAAAAAATTTCAGCTTTCGACAACTCTGTCTTTCGACCATAGATTTGAATTTGGAAAATACCTCGATGACATCACTTACTTCTTGATGAGGTAAGTCCAAACTTTTGACTGTAATCATTCATGAACGTGACAAAGTATCTGTTGCCTACAATCGTATCCACCTGGATTGGACCACATGCATAAAAGTATATGACTTCCAGAATTGTCTTCGACTTTCTTCCTGTATCCTTGCTGAAGCTATTCTTGTTTTGTTTCAAATGAACACACTCTTCACAAACTTCACTTGGAATTTCGATTTCAAGTAATCCTGAAGCCATATTTCTCCTCTTTAGCT